TGAGGTCCCCTTGTCCCCGCAGAGGCAACAGAAGCAGCAGCAGCTACTGGGCCGCCTGCAGGACCTGCTGCTGGGCCCCAAGGCGGACGAGCAGACCACGTGCGAGGTGCTGGACTACTTCCTGCGGCGCCTCGGCTCCTCACAGGTGGCCTCCCGGGTGCTGGCCATGAAGGTGAGGGCAGCCGCCCGCTGTCCTGTGCGCGCTACCCCGCAGGCGGCTCCTCCCAGCCGGTGGCCGTGCCCACCAGGTCTCCTGCCTGGTTCTCACAGGAGGGCTGTGCGGGTGACACCCCAGACCCGCCTCTGCCCTCTCCCCGTGTCCCTCCCGGGCAGCTGGGACCTGGCGTGCGTGTCTCCGGGCAGCTGAACACGTGCTTGTGCTGCTCTCTCCGCTGGGGCAGCTCTAACAGGACGCAGTCCGTCCGTGGCAGCCTGCGTGCGCCCTGGGCTTCAGGAGCCTGTTCGTCCCCCCCTCCGCCCCGTCGGGGTGCCCTGCGGAGGCGTGGTGGAGGCCCGCTGACCCCCGTCTGCTTGCAGGGCCTGTCCCTGGTGCTGTCGGAGGGCAGCCTGCGTGACCGGGACGGGGAAGAGAAGGAGCCCCCGGCGGAGGAGGACTCGGGGGACGCGGAGACGCTGCAGGGCTACCAGTGGCTGCTGCGCGACCTGCCCCGGCTGCCCCTGTTCCACAGCGTCAGCGCCTCCACCGCCCTGGCGCTGCAGCAGGCCGTCCACATGGAGACCGACCCGCAGACGGTCAGCGCCTACCTGGTCTACCTGTCCCAGCACACGCCCGTGGAGGAGCAGGGCCCGCACAGCGACCTGGCTCTGGTGAGGGGCTCTGGTTCCACGCGGGACCTTCATTCAGAGCTGGCAGCAGGGGCAAGGGAACCGGGCCACTTGCTGTCCGACGAGCCGCCGTGGCCCCAGGCCTGGCTGCCCTGCTGCTCTGGGTGCTGCTGGGAGGGCCCACATCTGTCCTCGTTTCCGTGGATCTGCTTTCCCAGGGGCTGGCGGCAGCTCTGGGACCCAGTGGGCTCCTGTGAGCGAGCCCGCGATGAGGGCCTCACGGAGAGCACGGTCCCCTGTGGGTCCTGAGGTCACACTCCTGTCGCTCGTGGGATGGTGTCCGCGGACCCTCTCCACGCTGGGTGGGTGGCTCTTGTCAGGGCTGTGTCCCCTCCAGGGAGTGCCGGGCCCCTGCCCTTCTCCTCCCAGCCCTGTTGGCACTTCTTGTCCGTGTGTCTGAGAGGCCCTGTGCCCGGCACCCCTCCCCTGCCGTGGGCGCCAGGCTGAGCGTGGTGTGGTGTCCGGGGCAGCCTTGGTGCGTGAGAGGAGCCCCTGACGGCTTGCTCCCCCAGGACGTGGCCCGGCTCATCGTGGAGCGCTCCACCATCATGTCCCACCTCTTCTCCAAGCGCTCCTGCAGCGCCGAGTCGGACGCCGTGCTGGCCGCGCTGCTCTCCATCTTCTCCCGCTACGTCCGGCGCATGCGCAAGAGCAAGGAGGGGGAGGAGGTGTACAGCTGGGTAAGGCGGGCAGCCGCCCCC